GGTACGGGTGCGACACCGAGGGTTGCGATCCCGTTGCCGGTCCCCGGTACGGGTGCGACACCGAGGGTTGCAATCCCGTTACCGGTCAGTAAAAAAGACAAAAAGGAAAAAAAAAAAAGAAAAATAACCCATCCCTCCTTTGGTGTGGGTTTTTAAAAAAATATTGCATAATAAATTATATATAACTTTAGAAAAACAGATCAATGTAATTTTAGAAAATCTTTTCTAAATTATATATGCATATATGTGGCAGACATATAGTTAAAAATTGATTCCTTAGGTAATGTTCAATATATGATCAGGAAGTTAGCACTATTTTAAGAGGCTTATCTTAGAGTCTTGGTTAATCCAACAGTATGCAACTGACAATATGTTCATTCAGTATCATTTAGGGTTCTTATGGTTAAAGGGAGGATAAATTTTAGATTTGCATTAATATCTGCAACTATGAAGAGAAGATTCCTAATATACTTTGAGATTGTCAGACGGAAGAAAATAAACTCTTTATTAACCAACCCTATTTATGATGTGGTCATTTAGATTCTAAATTACCTCAACTTTAGGTGGGCATTGACCTGAAATTTGATTTCATACTTGCCTGTGAATAAATTTCTGGAAAATATTTAAACCTTAAGATCAAACTATTTTTTAAGAAATTTAGAAGCAATCACTGATGTGATCACTATGTTAATTAAAATACATTCTATCCATGAAATTAGCTAATATAAGAATCTCTTCTTAGTATTACTATTTTTTTCCTTTAAAAAAAAAAACCAGCTTTGTTGAGGTTTTATTATGTTTTTTTTCCTAGAAGTTTTGCAGTTTTAGATTTTTTTCTAAGTAACAGACTATTTTTATAGCTGTTTTAGGTTTACAGAGTAATTGAGCAGAAAGTACAGATAGTTCCCACACCTCCCCCCCCAAACACAATTTCTCCTATTGTTAACATGTTACATTAGTATGGTATATTTGTTATTTATTTTTTTGGACACTGGCCCGTAAGTGGATCTGAACCCTTGAACTTGGTGTTATCAGCACCATGTTCTAACCAACTGAGCTAACCAGCTAGCCCACATTTGTTACAATTATGAACCAATATGGATATATTACTATTAACTCAATCTTACATTAGCGTTCCCTCTTTGTGTTGTACGTTTCATGGGTTTTGTCAAATGCATAGTGTCACATACAAACAATCACAGTATCGTACAGAATAGTTTTGCTGCCCTAAAAATCCTCTGTGTTCTACCCTCCTCCCCGAAGCCCTGAAAACCACTCATTTTATTCCATTACCTCAAACATTTATTATTTGTGTTGGGAACATTCAAAATCATCTCTTCTAGTTAATTGAAAGTATACAGCAAATTGCAGTTCACTATAGTCACCCTACAGCGCTACAGGACACTAGACATCATTCCTCCCGTCCAGCTGCACTTCTGTATCAGTTAACCGACCTCTCACTAGCCCACTCTCGCCGCCCTTCCCAGCCTCTGGTAACTGCCATTCTACTCTCCGCTCCTATGTGATCAACTGTCTTAGCTCCCACATACGTGTCAGAACATGTGGTATTTTACTTCTGCCTACCCCCCCGCCCACAGCTGGCCCTGGTGCTGCCCCTTATGGCCCTGTGTGGCACACCGTGCCTCTTGCTTCTAGGGATCTGTGAGTATAAACTTTTTCCTTCATGACAGTCATTTCTGGGTCTGTGTTTTAGCATAACTGATTAAAACAAATACCGGGTACATTTTCAAAACAAACTGTGTGTATTTAAAGGCTATAATTTGGTCTGTGTTGACATATATACTGTGAAACCATCACACAAGCAAGATAATAAAGATACCCATCACCTCCAAAAATTTCCATAAGCCACTTCGTAAGACCTCCTTCATGCATCCCCCACCCCACCCCATCCAAAAGTAACCACCAATCTGCTATCATTATAGATTAGTTTGCATTTCCAATAATGATATATATCTATAATAATATACTATGCAACCTCTCTGTCTGGTTTCCTTCACTCAGCATAATTATTTTGAGATTCATCCATGTATCAATAGCTGATCCTTTATTACTGAGTACATTCCATTCTATAGATATACAATCATTTATTTATTGTCACCTCTTGATGGACATTTGAGTTGTGTCCAGTTTTGGGCTATTACAAATTAATCTGCTATGAATATTCATGTACATATTTTTGTATGATCATATGCTTTCAGCACTCTAGGGTAAATATCTAGGAGTACAATGGCTGGATCATATAGTAGGTACACATTTAACATTTTAATAAACTGCCAACTTTTACAAACTGGTTGTATCATTTTACATTCCCACCAGAGTATATGATAGTTTTAGTTGCTTCATGCACTTGCCACCACTTGGTAGGGTCAGGATTTTAAATTTTAGTCACTCTAATAGGTATGTCGTAGTATTATACGGTGGTTTTAAATTGCATTTCCCTAATGACTAATGATGTTGAGCATCTTTTCGTGTGTTTATTTACCATTCATTTACCTTCTTTGAATAAGTCTATTTAAAACGTTTACACATTTTTGGATTTTGTTTTTGGTATTCTTTTCTTATTGAGTTTTGAGAGTTTCTATATTCTCTGGATACAAATCCTTCATCAGATATGTGACTTGCTAATATTTTCTCACAGTCTGTGGCTTGCCGGTGCATTCCTTCACCAGTGTTTTTGAAGATCAGAAGTCCTTAAATTTGATGATGTCAAAGTTATCAATGTTTTTCCTGCTTTTGTTGTTGTATCAAAGAAATCTTTGCCTACCTCACAGTCACAAAGGTTTTCTCCTCCATTTTCTTTCAGAAATTTTATAGTTTTAGGTTTCACATTTAGTTCTAGTATCCATTTTAAGTTATTTTCAGATGGTATGATATTTGGGTTGATGTATACTTTTTGCATATAGATTTCTAATTGTTCCAGTGTCATTTGTTCAAAAGACTTCTTTTCCCCCACCGAACTGTCTTTGCACTTTTTCTGAAAATAAATTGGCCATATATGTGTGGGTCAATTTCCAAACCCTCTATCCTGTCCATGATTCATTTGTTTATCTTGTTCCAAACCATGCTTATCTTGGTGACTTTGGCTTTAAAATTAGTCTTGAAACCAGAAAGTGCAAGTCTTTCAACTTTGTCTTTCTTTTACAAGGTTGGTTGGGCTATTCTAGGTTCTCTGCATTTCCATAAATATTTTAGAATCTGCTTGCCAATTTCTACAAAAAAGGCAGCTGAGATCTTGACTGGGATTGTATTGTATTTATATAACAATTTGGGGATGATTAACATCTTATGAATATTGAGTCTTCCAACTCATGAACATAGTATATGTTCTTCATTTATTTCTTTAATTTACTCTTTGATTTCTTCTCAGAAATATTTTGTAGTTTTCTTTTCTCATCTGTAAATACAGTGAATTACACTGATTAATTTCAATGTTAGATCAACCCTGCATTCCTGGGATAAACCCACTTGGTCATGATGTGCTCATATCATCATTTTTATATACCACTGGATTCATTTTGTTAAAATTTTGTTCATCTAAGTTGTCAAATTTATTGGCATAAAGCTGTTTATAATATTACTTTATTTTCCTTTTAATAGCTGTAGTATCTCTAGTGATATCATCACACTCATTCATGGTATTGGTAATTTGTGCCTTCTTTTATTCTGATCAATCTGGCTAGAGGTTTATCAATTTTATTGATCTTCTCACATAACCAGTTTTTTGTTCCACTGGGTTTCATTTGCTCTTATTTTTTTTAGTTTCTTAAGTTGGTAGCTGGGGTTACTGATTTGAGAACATTCTTCTTTTCTAATATAAGCATTTGATGTTATACTTATAAATTTCCCTTGTGTATTGGGTTAACTACATCCTACAATTTTGATATTTTGCATTTTTATTTCCATGCAGTTCAAAATACCTTATAATTTCACTTCTGCTTTCTTCTTTGAACCATGGGTTATTTACTTAGTGTTATTTAGTATTCTTTAGTTTTTAAATATTTAGGGACTTTCTAATATTTTACTGTTATTTCTTTCCTTTTTTTTTTTTTAAAGATGACTGGTAAGGGTAAGGGGATCTTAACCCTTGACTTGGTGTTGTCAGCACCACACTCTCCCGAGTGAGCTAACCAGACATCCCTATATGGGATCCGAACCCTTGGCCTTGGTGTTATCTCCCAAGTGAGCCATGGGCCGGCCTGTTATTTATTTCTAATTACCTCCCCCTTTGGTCAGAGGAGATACTTTATTCTCAAATTGACTTGAATACTTTTAAATTTACTGAAACATTTTTATGTCCTAGAATATGGTCTATTCTGGTAAATGTTTTATTGTACACTTGAACAGAATGTATATTCTGCTGTTGTTGGGTGGAGTGTTTCTATAAATGTCAATCGGGCCAGTTTTGCTGACAGTGTTACTCAAATCTTCTATAGTCTTACTGACTTTTTGCCTACTTGTTTTACCAATTGTTGGAAGAGAGCTGTTGAAATCTCTGGCTATGACTGTGAACTTTTCTATTTCTTCTCACAGTTTTATCAGATTTTGCTTCATGTATTTCAAAGCTGTTAAGTGCATAAATGCTATGATTTATTATGTCTTCATGATGAATTTTTCTCTTTATGAAATGACCCTCTTTATCCCTAGTAATATTCTTTCTTCTGAAATCTACTTTGTCTGATGTTAAACAGCCACTCCAGCTCTCATTCTTGATTAATGTTAGCCTGGTATATCTTTTTCCATCCTTTTACTTTTAACTTACTTGTGCTTTTATATTTAAAAGAGATTTCTCTAAGGGTTGTGATCCCATTGCCGGTCCCCAGTACGGGCGCGACACTGAGGGTTGCGATCCCGTTACCGGTCAGTAAAAAAGACAAAAAGGAAAAAATAAAAATAAATAAATAAATAAATAAAAGAGATTTCTTATAGGCAGCATATAGTTGGATAATGATTTTTTTATCCTTTGCCATTTAATTGGGAGTATTTAGACCACCTATAGTTAGTGGCTAGGTTAATATAAAACATCTTGCTATTTGATTTTTGTTTGTCTCACATGTCCTTTAGTATCTTTTTCCTTTTTTCTGCCTTATTTTTCTTTTTCCTTTTTTCTACCTTATCTTGATTTGAGGACTTTTTCATTCAATTTTATCTCCTTTATTGGCTTATTAGCTATAATTCTTTATTACATTATTTTAGTGGTTGCTTTAGGGTTCATACTATACATCTTAAACTTACCATACTCTACCTCCAAGTGATATTATATTACTTTACATAGAGTGTAAGAAACTTAGAGCAGTTTTTTGTTCATTTCATCCCTCCTTGCCCTTGTGCTAGTGTTGTCACACATTTTACTTGTACATGTCTTATGAATCTTACAATACGTTGTTAGCATTTTTCACTTGTTATCATTTACATATTTCTCTTCCTAGACTGTAAGCTATATGAAAACAGGATTCACATCTGAATCAGTGTTGACACTTGATAGGTGTTCAAAATGTTTTTTTCAATAAATGCTACGGAGAATAAGAGAAGTGGTAGCAAAATGGCTGTGCTGCTTACCAAGGTAAAGCCCTGGACTGGCCCGGCCAATGTAGAAATACACAATGGCAGCAACCCCCATGTTAACCAGAGTATAGACCCACTGGATGACAAGCATGATGAGAAGGGACCCGACAGCCTGTGGAAACAGAGTAGAAAGAGCAAGTTACCTAATGGTTCTCTACTTGGTAAGTAAGCCACATGGCTAGGGCTTTAATAAACAATAGTTCCTCTCATCAACTTCTGACCACCGTAAAAGTAATTGAAGCTCACTCATAATTAAAAAAACCTAACTTAAGTAGATATTTGGGAAGACACACTTTGAAAGTAACCCTTTAATCAAAACTATCAATAAATAGACATTCTATCCTAGCTCCTTGACCCAGTCCTTTCTACAGGAAACAAATTAGGATGAAATTATGCTAATTTGGTACACCTAGAAATTTAGTAACCCAGAGGTTATCAGAGATAATTACTTAAAAATTAAGTCATTGACGGCAAGTGGTTTATTAAGTGTAATCTTGCCACATATAGTCTCATTGAAATTCTAATATATCAGGCAATTAAATCACATTGCTGCTAATTAAGTCCTCCTGCTTTCCTTCCTCTTCCCCCAAGATCACACATGTCTCCACCTGAATTATGTCTCAAGGACAATTGAGATCAAAATAAAATTACTCACCCCCAACAAGGAGACCCAGGGGTTGCACATGCGGGTGGAGAAAGAAGTTGGTCTCCACTGGACATCTTGTTCTTGGAGCCTAGACTTCAGGGAAAAATCTAAAAGATAAATTAGCCAAATCTTTGGTTACAAATTTGCTACCAAACTCTCTTCTATTTTTATAGGCAAATATCTATAAGCTCCTCTTCCCCACTTTTGTAACTCAGCCTCAAAGACACTCCTAGCACTTGCTCTTGGAGAAGGAAGAAAGATGTGCCTGTGGCCTCCCCCCAGCCAAGGATCTGAGAAAAAAAGGAGGGTCAGAGTGGAGAAGGACGCTCCTCTAAAACTCATAGCACGTCTGTCCAGATCTGTTGTCTGCGGGAGCTGGAAAGCTCAGATCTCCCCTCCTGTTTTTCAGAGGTAAGGGGGTAGAGTGGGGAATATGACATCTGGACTTCCAGGTTCCCTAATGTGACCACTGGGACTGCTGTGCCAGGTTGGCTTTTTCCTACTGTGGGATGGTCTTTGCTACCTTGTGACTCTGAAGGTCAACTCAGGTTAGCCTGGTCTTATAGATTAGAAGCTGACGAAGGAGAGGAAGGGAGGGAGAGTACCTCTTCTGATTCCTTCCTCTGGCAGTTGAGGTGGCTGAGGAGAAAGCAGGCTTAGCAATAAATAAATGTATGGTCCCACCTCACCCTTCATGGATTTTGGGCACATCAGAGCTTCTCAGAGCCGTGTCTTGTTCTATTCAGCTCTACCATCCCAGTTACAGCTGATTCCAGAAATGCTCAATTTAACCATGAAATACATATAGATTGCTTAACAATGTGGTCTAATCATCATGAATACCACAATAGTGATTCAAACAAATAATATGTTGCATTAACTTGGCTATATGTTTATACTTCATGGCAACACTAAATCTTCAGGTGTTCTCAACCCTTATAATTTGTTGCTCTGGAAATATGATTGACAGCTCCCTAACTAGCCCTTTCTCTTCTCTCCAATCCCAACTTTCTGCTTCAGCCAAACTACTTTGAAGGTGCCATCTCCTCTCCCCTGCCCTTGCCTCCTCTCTCCGTGTCCAGATCCTGTCTCATACACTACTCTTCTTCCTCACCTCCACCACATTTTATGTGTTGGTTCCTGGAGTTCAGCGGGGATCCACTTCTCATGGATCCCCTAGCCCTCTGCCAGTCCAACTCCTATTCATCCCTCAGGTCTGAGCTCAAATATCAGTTTCTCAAAGAAATCAGCCTCCCCAACAAAATCTAAATTTATTCCCTCACACCATTAATATTTCCTACAACCCATTTCCTTTCTTCATCCACTACAATTATTTGGAGCTGTGTATTTAGTTATGTGTTTCTCTGCCTACTGGACTATATGCTTTATGGGGGCAGGGTCCATATCTGTCTTGAGCCTAGGGCTAGTCCAAGTCTTCTATCCTCTCTGGTCACTGTGGCTTTATGACCTTGCCCCTCCAAAGAATATGCCATCACACCATTTCACACCCTACCCCTTATCGTTGTAGTCCTTACCAACTTCTTTGTCTCTCCCCTTCCCTTGTTAAGGATTTCAGCGCCTGACTCACCATAATTCTCTCTGTCACCACCCCATCATTATTTTTGCTGACTTCGTGCAGACTTCTACATAAACAACTCATTCAATGCCCTGCTCTCTCGGGTCACTGAAATCCTCATTCCAACAATCTCACCTTTCACTCACCTCAACCACCAATTCCCTTAACCACATTTGAGGCTTGTCATTGCCAGTAACCTTACACTTCCTAAATCATGATTTTAAGCAATCTACTCTCAGCCCATCATCTCCTTTAAAAAAAACAAAATTTAAAGCTCATTTGCTCTGCTGACCCTTATTCCAACTATTCATAGTCCACAGAAGGACCTTTGGTTAATTTGCCCTGGATGTTTTTGCTTTCCATGACCTACCTCCTGTTCTCACTACCCTCTTACCTAGCTTAGGCTCCACGGTGCAGGGCCGTCAGCGCTCCCTTACACACACACACTTCCACACTTCAGCATTCCTCAGCAGTCTTACATCTAGTCAACTCATTCTCCTACTCTCTGACATAACAAATTAACAACTGTCCTCTCCAAAGAGAACTTTTATATCCTTTCATCACCAAATCTGCCAAGCCCCTGGCATCTGTACGCTCTTCTGCCTTCCCTCCTTTTACAGCAGGTGCACAGTCCCCACTCCTACCTCAGGCCCCTCTTCTACTTGTGTCCTGCCTCCCACCCTCTTTGGCCTGTTCAAGGACTTTTTTCTGATGTCATCAATTCTTCTGTCCCTTAATGAATTATTCCCATCAAATACAAATACACTATAATACCTCCCTAAACAAATGTCTCCAGGCCATTCCCTAGTTACAGCTCTATTTCTTTATCCTCCTTATAGCAAACCTCCTCAAAAGAATTGCCTGTGCAGTCTCTATGTCCCATTATTTTCTCAACCCACTCTTAGGATTGGATATACTGTTCCTCTAAAACTACTCCTGAGCTTGCCAGTGATTTGAATCTTATCAAATTCAATGGTCAACTTCTAGTCCTTCCTACTTGACCTCTCAGACAGCATCTGACACTCATTTCTNGTCCCATTATTTTCTCAACCCACTCTTAGGATTGGATATACTGTTCCTCTAAAACTACTCCTTCTGAGCTTGCCAGTGATTTGAATCTTATCAAATTCAATGGTCAACTTCCAGTCCTTCCTACTTGACCTCCCAGACAGCATCTGACACTCATTTCTCCTTCTTGAAACACTTTCTTCTCTAAGATGCCTCAATTTCCTGGCTTTCCTCCTATCTCACTGCCCACTCTTTCTCAGTTTCCTTTGCTGGCTCACCTCCTCCTTCCAACCTGAAAATATTGGAGTATCCCAACATTCAATACTCAGCACTCTCCTTTTTCCATAAATACGCCCTCCTAACAGATATCATCTAGTCCCATGGCTTTAAATACTGCCCAGGTACAGACAACTCCAAGTTTACATCATCCTTGACCTCTCCCTTGAACTGAAGATTGAATATTTACTTGTCTTCTTAATCTCTCCCCTTATATGGCTAATAAGCACCTCAAACTTAGGATGGCTAAAACAGAAATTTATTCTCCCCAAGTCATCTTCATCTGAGTAAATGACACCACTGTTTACACAAGCATCTAAGATTCATCCTGATTTCTCTCTTTCTCTCACACTTACATCTATTGCATCAGTAAATCCTATGGATTCTACCAACAAATGTATTCAGAACATGATCACTTCTCACCACCTCTATTGCTCCCATCCTCATCCAAGCCACTTTGATCTTTCATCTGTTTACTGCAGTGGGCTCCTGTGATAGAGACCACAGCTAGAGAACATTCAGGATTTCTTGCAGTTAGGTGTAGCCACTAAGTACATTCGCGCCAGTAGAATGTGAACAGATGTGGTGAGTGCCACTTCTGGGCCACGGTCTCCAAGAAAACGTAAATCATCTCTCTGTGCTCTTTTTCCTTCCTTTGTAGGAAATCTGAAGAAGGTAACTTAGTATTGACTTTGCACATGATATGGTCCTAGGGGATGGTGAAGTCACACAAATGGAAGGTGCCTGACTCCCTGAGGATATGCATGGAAGAGAGCATCCCACTGATGTGGAGCACCCTTCCTGGACTGTTAATGCAAGTGATAAATAAAGTTCTATGGTGTTTGAGCCACTACATTTTTATTATTTGTTATAGCAGTTTAGTCTACCCTAATTAATACACCTCCCCCCATTACCTCAATACAATCCACTCCTCACAAAGACAGTGATCACCTTAAAGCCTGAACTTGATCACATTGTGGCCCTAGCTGGACCCTCCAGTGGCCTCTGCCACAGTCACAGTGGCCTGCATGGCCCGCCCAGCACTGCCCTCACTGGACTCCTCCCTTACCCCTCTCCCTGGCTCACTACTTTCCGGCTGTGGGACCTTTGCTGTTCTTGGAATTTTCCAGTCTAGTTCCCACTTGTATCTTCATATAGGCCACTTCCTCTACCTGGAACTCTTCTTCCACTCCTCTGTATGGCTCACTGCTCATATTCTCTTCCCAGTGAGATCTTTCCTAACAAAGCTATCTGAATCAGTACACCTTCCTCCCCATCCTAGTCTCTCTATCTTGTTACCCACATTATTCTTCATAATACCTATTGCTTATTGACATTACAGCATACATTTGCTTGTTAGTTACGTATCTTCCCCTGCTAGCATGTAAACTCTATGACAGCAAAGACCTTCTGTGTCTATTCAGCATGTTCCCCCAGCACTTAGAACAGTGTCTGCAATGTAGGAGATGTTCCATACATGTGGCTGAATGAATGAATAAGCCATCCTACCCCCCGAGAAGTCTTCATCCTCTCAACATCAATTTGCTTTCATCATGTGCTTCCAACTATTATACTTACCTTTTTAAACATGTATACCCAGAGGGTAAGGATGACCATCTTTATATCTCTAAATGCCAAATCTAGGCATTTAGAAATTTGTGTATATGAAGTGTTCAATAAAAGTCTCCTTATTAATTATGAATTAAAATAAAGTCTTTCAAGATTTATGATTGATTTGAATGGATGGCTCTTTTACTTTTTTGAAAAAGAAGTTCTGTTATGATTGCCATTAATTAAATTGTATAATTTTAACATGCCCAATGTACAATCCATTTTTTCTTTTTTTTTTTTTTTCCTTTTTGTCTTTTTTTGTGACCAGCAACGGATCGCAACCCTCAGTGTCACACCTGTACCGGACCGGGACCGGCAACGGGATCGCAACCCTCGGTGTTGCCCCCGCACCTCGCTCAGCCAGTGAGCGGCCGGTCTGTATGTGGGATCCGAACCCCCGGCAGGAGCGCCAGCGCGCTCCCAAGTGGCGCACTGTAGCAGTGCGCCACTGGGCCGGCCCCTACAATCCATTTTTCAATCACAGGCTTAGTGAAATACAGTTGCCCCTTGGTTATTGAGAAGGAACACAAT